ACGGGTAGGGGTTAGGATATAGAGAATAATGCTTTTGTTTAATGGATGGGTGTGGGCTGAGGAAAGCTTGTATTAAGATGTTGGGTTGGGGTAGGAATAAGGGTGGATATGGGTGGGTTTTGGTTGATGAAAGGTGGTTAAAATGTAGGATTGGGGTTGGAGTGAGGGTGGGAATGAGTGGGTGGATTAAGGGTGGAACTAAAGATGTTGAGTGAGGTTGGGAATGAGNGGGGGGGGGGGGGGGGGGGGGGGGGGGGGGGGGGGAGACTACAAGGTGGCAGGGCAAGATTAGTTTGAGCAGTGTATGGTGGTGTGGCAGTAGGTGGTTTATACATTAATTCTAGGTGGGAGGGTGGTAAAGGTGGTACCACAACACTTACTGGAGTTGTGAGTTGTTGAGTGCATGCTGGAAGCAGTACAGAATAAAAAAAATGTTGTTTTCATCAGAATTAAACCTTTAATATATAAATCATAACATCAAATTTATTAACCAACTTTGAAAATGCAAATTATGGTACAAACTTACTCTTCAGCAAAGAAAAGGAAAAATATCCTAGATGTAAATATTTATAGTTGCACAGGCTGGTCAATTTACCTCCAATTGAGGGTAATAATTTGATATTTTCTCTCCAGAATATGAGATATACCTTTAATAGAGATAATTTGTGAGGACCTTTTCACAACTCCTGACAAAGGGTTAACAACTTCCACGATTAGTGTTTTGAAGACTTTAATTGTGTATAAGGACAATTTTTAGTCAACAAAACATTGACATCATGCAAGCACCAACAAAATAAACACAAATATTTCCTGTTTGCATATCCCGATCATTACTCTAGTTAGTACAAAAACTCAATACATATAATTAACTTCAGTTACAGAAGTAAATTGATAGAACAGTGTAGAACAGTCCATATACATTTCCATCTGTGAAATATATGAATTTCTGTTATTGGCAATAAAGGATAACAGTACTGAGCTCCAATGACAATAAACGATATCACAGACACTGCACAGCGCAATTAGTATCAATAATTCACACTGGGAGAAATTGTTGTATCGACGGGCCAGGTGAAAAGACTACCGGTAGGATGATCAACTTGTGTATTTACACCTGTGATCGTATGTATCACTGCCAATACGGGCCCAGGTATGGCAACGGTAGACTACCATCAAGTACTAGCTCCTGGCTGATGCAACACTGAGTCTTAAAGTACATAGTTACTGGTATGAGAGAAGGAATTATATACTATGTACCATGAAATGTGAGATAACGAGACACACATAAGTCTATATATATGCTCTGAAGAAATACCTCAAGGTAGAGTCCAGGATTGGTCATTATATTCCAGATGTTAGCTTATTATGTCTAGTAGTCGTCGTGTACCAGGTATTGTCCAGCAGTGGTCAAGTCTTATAGTGGTTATGTCCACTAGTGGTCATGTCAACAATGTGTTGTCCAGTAATGATGTTCACGTAATATGTCCTGTAGTGGTCAAGGCAGGAATGGCCTGGTGGTGGTCAAATACAATTATATAGTCCAGTAGTGGTCTGATGTCCAAGGTATCATGTCTATGGTAGTGGTCAAGTCATAAGGTATTGTCCAGTTAAGTGGGCCGGTAGCAGGTATTTTCATGTAGTGGTCATGTCAAGGTGTTGTCCAGTAGTGACAATGTAATGTACAGAAGTAATGTTTATCTGGCGTCCAGTAGAGATGGAGTCCCTCGTTTAGTCCAGTAATGACTTGTTATACTCCAGTTGTAGCTACATCCCGTGAGATTTCTAAATACATATATGTTTGTCTGCATACTTAAGTGTAGAGAACCTACAACGGTGTTAGAAATATTAACATTGACAGAAAATGAATTTTCAATTTTCCGTGCTGTCAGTTCGTCTGCTGGCAAGACAATGAATACCTCACCGGGATAACATGTCTGTAATTGTGTTCAAATTAGCTTGAGAGGAAGGCTATGTGAATCACCTTTGTAATAAAATCCCTGACAGCCAGACGTTTGTTTGGGAGGGAGTTTGCACCTTCATAGGTGAACAACAGATGGATTTGTTCACGTTATTCTTTTATTGTAATTATGTCATTGTTTGATTGGGAAGGAATTTCCGACTATCCCATAGTCAAACAAATCTGTGGCTGATTTTGTCGGAAATCCTGTCTGCTGGAGGCTCTGGGCACATTTTTGTCAGTTCAATAATCAACCTTGGCATTGACATCCATCACTATAGCCAATATACACAGTAAACTGTGTCATGTTTTACTTGTGTCTTCCTTTTTACAGTTTTCAATGTTTATTTGAAAGTGACATTGTATCACAATGCAATCTCCTGTAGAACTATTTTGTACAGAATTTTGTTACAAACAATCTTTCAGTTTCAGATTTTTCGAAGCAATTTGATGATCCAGTTGTACACAAATCTCGCCTTGTTTTTCTCATCAGAAACACTAAAAGTGCTATGAAGTGTGTACTTTGAGACGTAGAGAGACTTTATAGTCCGTACGAGTTTGATTGATAATGGAGTTTAGATGACTGTTATTGATCATAAACCCACTGCTCAAAGAGAATTTTATTATACAGAAAAAGAAAATGATAGAATGTACCATTTCCAAATCTATTTCCAAAAAGAATTATATTTTCAATGAAAAAAGCCTACATATATTTGATATATATATAAACAATCAAAATCTGAACCTTTAGTCATTGTTCTGTGAAGAATGGTTTCTATTGAAAAAAAACCCAACCTATTCCATGTAGAATTGATAGGCTCCACATCAATATTACAGAGAAGTCTGACAAAGCTCAGAGAAAATATCTTCATATTTGTGAACTTATTTAGATTTCTTTCCAAATAACAAACAGCTGTATCATCTTCCAAGTCATTTATCATACTGAACAGGGAACAGGGTTCAAAATGATCCTGAAGGAGGTACAAGGTTCAAAATCATCCTGAACGAGGTACGAGGTTCAAAATAATCCTGGTACAGGGTTCAATATCATACTGAACGAGGTTCAGGGTTCAAAATCATCCTAAACCAGGTACAAGGTTCAAAATCATCCTGAACGAGGTACAGGGTTCAAAATCATACTGAACGAGATAAAAGGTTCAATATCATACTGAACGAGGTACAGGGTTCAAAATCATAGGTACAGGGTTCAAAATCATCCTAAACCAGGTACAAGGTTCAGTATCATCCTGAACGAGGTACAGGGTTCAATATCATACTGAACAAGGTACAGGGTTCAAAATCATCCTAAACCAGGTACAAGGTTCAATATCATCCTGAACGAGGTACAGGGTTCAATATCATACTGAACAAGGTACAGAGTTCAAAATCATCCTTAACATTATAAACATAGTTCAGTATTTTCCTAGACAAGGTACATGGCTCAGTATTATCCAAAACAAGGTACATGGTTCAGCATTTTACTAGACAATCTACATGGTTCAAGGTGTTTACTGTTATCCTAAACGATATCAGGTTCACAAAGATTCTGAGTCAAACCTAATATCATCCATAGAAAGGAAGCAATCTATCTGTACACCCCATCATCAACTTGTTCTGAGTTCAATATCATCCTAAACATGATGGTTAATGATTAAATGTATTGACCTCCTCCATGGTCAATGACTGTATATTCCCTTTTCTTGAACATAGCAATTGTTTAAATGTTGTTTTTCTATCAGGTTAGTGGTATTCTCAATGTATCTATTATCTTTTAAACAACCCTTTTTTTATACACGTGATGTGAAGACTGAATTGTTATTCAGAATGTTAACTATGTATCAATGTTCAATAATTCACGGGAAATGTCTGAACAGGTTTTTTAACTGATCCCAACATTTCATAATATTTAGGATGAAATTATTTTAACTGATCCCAACATTCCGTAATCTTTAGGATGGAATTATTTTTAACTGATCCCAACATTTCATAATCTTTAGGATGAAATTATTTTAACTGATCCCAACAATTCATAATCTTTAGGATGAAATTATTTTAACTGTAGCGTATTCTAATACAATTTTCTACTCGTGAGTAAAAGCATCCACAAGGAAAATTGTTTACTTAACATTTCAGCACACAAAACATTTACTGACAATGAAACACATCCATAATATGATGTAAGTTAATAATTCTGTAGAAATGTGTTCTGTTTTAGGATTTAAAGATAAAAAAATCAATACACTTAACAAGGAAAATATTTCAAACACTTGTGTTTTTTGGACTATTTCCATGTTAATTTAAATGTGACATTTCTTCTGTATTCCTATTTTTATAACATATCTTGCAAGAGTTACCAATAAAATATTACATTGTATACGTTCCTAATCAAATTTCTCCTTTTTTGATAATTTAAAACACACAATGTTATCGGACTCTTTTTATCTTGAAACTACTAACTTGTCAATTAATGTTTACTATTTTGATAATATCAATACAATTAAATACGTTATTTGACAACTAATAAACAAGTTGATATTAAAATATATTTTTTATACAGTTATTACAATAACAATCTTTCTGACGATAAACAAACATCTTTTTAACAATGAATGTTTAAAAATAAAATTCATCTGTTTGTTGATACTACAAAATTACTGGATTAGTCCTTTGATTGCGAAGAAAAATCCTACCGATAACAAACAAAAGGAAAATAGAAGAATGAGATATTCAGCTTCCACGAAATTACAAAATAATTGGACTGTAAATTGTATATATCAAATATTAATTCAATAGAAAATCGATGGCAATTCATTGAACAGTTATAGTGATTGAACACAAAACCTCGGCGATAACAAATGTTGATATGCTGGCGATTCAGTGGGGCGTGACATGTGAATTATACCTGTATTCCGTAAACACAGACTTTCGCCTGTAGCAGACACACCACAACAATCATTTCTACTAAGTCATTACCGAGTCGGCTCCCCCTCAATAAAACATACCTGCGACATTGATTTTAATATTTCATCTAAATCAAGAGTGCCGACAGATGGGTCGACTTCCATGATTTGGGTTTCGTATTGATGTTCGGAGGTGCAGATCTAATTCACTTCCAATTTCAATTTTCTTTCCATGTTGTTTTTACATAAAAATACATTATGAGTCAAAGACTAAATTATATGAATGCCGCGACAAAGTAGAAAGGGATTCCTTCTATTCAATGTCATCGTGCCAACTACACTCGGCTGTAATTCATCACATCATAATATAAATATCCTCGCAGTGGATGGCTTTTTAGAAAGCTTCGCCCGAAAATATCAGATATGTTTAATCACATGTAACAGATTATAATAGACGATAATGTCTGGCATATGATAACTAAATTACTGATCATGTTAAAATACGGTCTCCATCTCGCGTCTTCACTTCCCTGTTGTACTTAAATACCCTCCTCACTGAACAAGACACAGGGATTTAATTGGGTTCAAATATTCATATAAAAAATATTTTATAACAATTGATTATGATTATGATTATATTTTTTACCATAAGAAAATGAAGTTTATTTAAGGGAATTTTAGAAGAAGGTAAATCTATAGGATTTTTGTTAATGATAATAGCGAGAAAAATGTCAGTTAACAAATACATTTTCAAGTCCAATATTTTTACATGTAAACAATTTCTTTGATTCGATGATGTTTTGTTTATTGCAGGTGTATTATTATATTCAAATAACGATATTTAATACATCCAAATGTTCAGTATCAGCAGAGTGAAATGACACTCATTTTTTTTGTAAAACAATCTGCATTCCTAACAGAAGAAATAATTGTTTGTTTATTAATAAACAGATACTTTATTCTGAAGGATGCACGATTTTTCATGTAACAATTTTTATGGTATTTTCTCATATTACAGGTACTTTTTTTCAGTATGACATTCAAGGTAATAGAAGTATACTTTTTGTTTTTGCTGCAAATATAAATAAGAAATTCGATATCCTTAACATTGGTATTTCCTTACCATCTAAACCTCTCCTGCCTCCCCCCCCCCCCCCCCCCCCCCCCCCCCCCAAAAAAAATTAAAAGTCTTTTAGTTGCCCTACCAACTAACACTACCACCCTTATTTATTTAATTCAGCTAGATGGATAACAGTAAAGTGTGGTCTATTATCCACAAGCATTTAGGACAAGGATAATCATTACAAATTAACAGATCCTTGTGTATTTCAAACTTTACCTTATTCATCATAAGCTAAATGAATGTTATTAATTCTGTTTCTTTTCAAAGTTGTGTTCCGTGATGTTAGTTCTACACTTGCTACTATATTAAAATTTACTAACCGATTTACAAAAAACATTAACTATATGCATTAAAATACACATGTTTTTTGGGTACCACAATACATACGACCGATGAAGAAATACATTTTTTAAGTACTGGTATCTATAGATTGGGAATAACAGTAGTTAACATTGAGAGTTATGTATTTTCAGTATTCAAAACAAAAATTGATATCAAGATTAGGGAATTTGGAATAGATATAAATTAAAGGAATCTATGAAAAGTAACTGAAAGACACCAAGTATTTAGTTCTTTTTTAATAACAAATTGTTGTTTTTTATAAAAAGAAATAACAGAGTATATGGCTGAGGAACAAAAATTAAATGCAATTTTAGTATAAAGTTGTTAACTATTTTTTCCCCATTTTTTTCATTTAAATGAATGCATCATATAATATGCACCTAGAGAGAACCTGTCGGAGTAACTATGTAAAGGAAATATAATCGACGGTTTTAACGTAGGTGTATTCCTCTGACAATGTATGCTATGCCATGATCTGATGAAAGGAATGTGAAACAACTGTCATATTTCCATCACGAAATTATTCAACAAAGGTATCGTATAATTTACAGTGTTGACATGTTCTTCAATTTAATTACCGGTATGATCACGGAAATAATAACGATAAAAAGAAAGATATTCCAATTAAGGGCTATAAAATACAAAGGTCCTCTGATATAGCCATTAATAAAATGAAACATTACTCCCGGCCAATAAAAATTCCCTATAAATATTTTTAATAAGGTAAAAGAATTTAATTTTGTAATGGAAAATGCATTAGTTTTATACTGAGACTGCAAGAACTTAAAATAACGTAAGTCCTTTATCACTGCGACAATTAATTAGCCGGGGTAATTAGGTCGTGGGTGATGTTGTGTCTTTTTGCCATATGCCCCTCGCAAAACAACGGCGATGCCCTTATCTGTATGGGATCAATAGTGATCTCCCCCTTAAGCTCCCGGCTATGAAAAAAATAAAAAAATAATCTGGATTTTTAAAAATATCAAAACATCAGCACAGGTGATCCTGATCATAAAATGAGGTATTTTGATGTTAATGTCTCAATTTTCAGAATTTATATCGCCAGGAAGAAGAGAAATTATATCGAAACAAAAGGACTATGACAATGAAAAGGCACAAGCTCGTCACGGCCGATGAACCGGGAATACAACAAAACCTAGGACTGTCGCACTGCCACTACACCTCAAGGTATTCAGGTCTGTTTAATGGGTTCAAATTCATTCCATTTTCAAGTCTAATTTCTGTTTGTTGAGATCGCTATCCGCAAGAATATATGATCTCTCAATTATTCTAGTTAATGAGATGTGCAGTGTACGCTTAGTGTAATACTACGATCAGGTTAAAACGCAAATAAATTGTTCATGATGTCATAATCAAATATGAAGTTGTATTTTTCTTCTTTTTTTATTTTCGCTTGCAGAGATAATATATATATATATCTGCATCTTTAATCTAAGATATTTTCTCTGTTCAAGATGACATGTAATGTTTTAACTGAAATATCATAGGGTCTTGGGGGAATAAATGATCAAACCTTCAAATAGTCCATCATCAAATAATTTCCTAATTGATTTGAATGATTAAAATTTAAATATTTTGTAATAATTCAATTTATTTGTGTGAAATGTGATTTTTATGTACAATAAAAACACAAAGTCGAACAAAAATTGCAAGTTATTCTATTGAATAAAGGAAATATTTAAATAAAAATACACATATCCTATTATCCGAACAGAATATGTTTATTTACTATAACTAAAGATGTATGCAAAATGGCAATCAAACCCAAAATTGATATTTTTTCTCAGGATTCATTTAAATAATAGAAGAAATAATTAAATCCGAGTTAAAATATCATGGTTAACTAACTGTGAAGTTTTGAGTAAACGGAAAAACCGAATAGTTTTTGTTCGGTCTAAATATGACTTTCTCTTGCGTCTACTGTAAGAGCGGACCATCGGGGTAGCACTAAGCATGTCGAGGACCGTGATTGTAGCCTTACCTTTTAACAGTCCTTCTTCTTCGTTTAGTGGCATACATGGTTTTTATCACCCAGTCTTCCACCATTAGCCGAAGATTCCTTTTTTTTTTTAAACAACACACAAACCCAACATTGGCAGCGGTATCACCTCAGCGAAACTTTGCAAATATTTTTCCCCATCCCGGCGGAAGTTAAGCATCCTGCCTGCCGTGAACTTTCGGCATCTTGAGATTTTTTCAAGACGACTAGCGACTATGATTATATTGACAGCATTCATTCATGACCTTCTTTGCGAAGAATTGAACATGAGTGGCCTAAATTAAAACAAAATCACTGGTACGCGAATTACATATGGACTTGTCACTGTTGATCTGATAAAAATGAATACATTATATGTAATATAAATATGGTCGTGGACATAGCCTCTCTGACAATTCCGATCATGTTCACTCACAATCTCCTATGCAAGTTTCATGCTAACTATTCTCAGCCACGCGACCGTCAACAATCAATACACCACGCCCCCTCTACGTTTATCCCGCCCTGCTGATTATGGGCGGCCAATCACCTGCTGTGAGGCTGCATTGTTATCCCCGTGCCTTAAATCTACTGGTATTTACCGTGTTCATTTAACAGGTGTAGGTTCGGTATGAATGAATGGCTCCCCTTGGGGTACAATTCTGTAGTGTGACAGTAACCCGACTTCTGACCATTATACCATTCATCCCATACAAAACCCACCTATTCAAACAGACTGGAGCAGACCTAATGCTAACAGGGAACCTTCACCTTTTCCATATAGTTCTGGGATGACCCTAGAATTAGCATTACATCTCAATCTTTACAGACATCTCATCATATCAAGTCAAATTTTCTTCTTTCTAATTAATCACCGATCAATACTCTAGCATTTTAAATCTGTGCTGTATTTTTCCTGATTTTTTTTTATTTAAGTTTGAGCAAGGTAATGCTCTTAGCGTGATAATTTGTGAGCCATTTAAGCTCTGGGGTGTTACGAGAATAATCGTATTTGGCGACAAACCATTGAGAATGGTCGTGATTACCTGGGTGATAATTTCGATAATGTACCTGTGCCGAGGTGAAATTACATTACTACACCACACAAAAGACGTGACATCACACTGTCTGATCCATCTGGTCGACACCTACTCACCTTTAGCCACTGGGTCCGCTGACCCGCCCACTCAACTGGACACTGCTTGACCATCCCATCTTTGTTACTACTACAGTTTACTCACCTTAGAAATTACAAACAACGAAAATTTAAAATTATTTCTGTGTCAAATTAAAACCATTTATCTTAAGTGAATCATTAGGTTATATATTTGATTCCCCGTTATTTGATTTTCAAGGAATACAAGTACTGTTCGTCTGTATGATTTTATGTGACATATGGTCTTGAACGTTTCTAATTACCATCAGAACTTAAATATACAATACCTTACCAATTAATTGATTCTGAAAATTTTCCTGTTTCAATTGCTCCATTTATTAACATTTATTGATTATACATTGATATTAATTCTCTTCCGAGGTTTGTAAAAATTTCATCTTTTACTTAAGCATTAACACTAAGATGAAAGATAATGTTTCAAAAACCTTGGAAGAGAATTAATATAAAAATACTATCAATATACTATCAATTGCAAATTTTTTTTTCAATTCATATTGTTCCATTATTTGATAGTATGTTGTTTCCAAATATGAAATAATTATGTCCTTTTTTGATATATATCTCTGAATAATATTACTATGATAAAAAGCAATAATAAGTACCTTTATAACCGCAGTGTTCCTCCAGGTCTTGGAGCAATTTCCCCACGGAAACTATCTCCCTCCTTTCTTCCTTTCCTCAGAAAAAGGATTTTGTTGCAGAACTTGGCTTAAACCTGTCAATAAATATTCACAAATTTACACAAGATATTTATTAGTTTGCTAGGAATTGTGTCCACTCTATGTCCAGTTATATTCTGGTCTTGACCATTGCTGGACAAAGCTTGACCACTTGACCTCTAGTTAATGTCAATGGTTTTCTATAGAATGTGTACAAACAGGAGATAGCTGTTGTTATTTCAAACATTTTAAATTGTAATAGAAATGCAGTTTATGATAAATAGAAAATAAAAACATCTCTGTATGTTAAACAGCATTTCATCTTATAACATTAAAGAAAATGTTTTCAACAATTCTTTAAAATCCAAAGTGATAAAGGGTTATTTTTTTTTATCTTTAGTTTCTTTTCTAATTTCTATCAATTTGTTTTTAAAAGCTTAACATTTAAATTATTTTTCTGACCATAAAATGACTTCTCAAATCTGCCAGTCATTCTGTGAAAAATGAAATACAGTTTAAGATATATTTTCAGTTTCAAGGCATTTCTGATGAATTATTAATTATGTTTCATATCTGTAAATTTAAAAAGTTGGCTTTATAAAAATGTGCTGCCCAGATATAAAATATGGAATAAGGAATTTGTTAAAAATAAAAATGTAATTTCAATGCATGAAACAAGCTTTTGAAACACAAATATAAAGCACACATTTTATTAACAATAAAGAGTTATTATTAAATCTCTGATTATTTATTCCCGATGTTCAATGAAATCTTATGAAATTTTAAATCACATATATAATTATTTATTTGTCATATTCTCTATAATTTCACCATTTTTTTCCCATTACACATCAGAATTCTTCTGGTTCAAAATATGCAATACAGCCATTTTGCCAGTAATCACTGATTGTTCAATTAGCAACAGTGAATGTTAAAATCTCCCAAATTTGAAAATTTCATGAAATATGAATTTTGAAGGATAAATTTATCATGAATTAATTTCATAAGTATCATTACATGTATATACAACTGTTCTAAACTGATTTGAGCGAGTTTTGTGAAAACTCAGACATAGTAGCGGAAACAACTTTTGAGATAGATTTTATTGTATGATTTATCTAACTATATAAAATATGAAGTTTTCACAAAATTTAGGAGACAAAAACGCTGCCATTTTAAACTCATGATATCACCTCATCGTCTTTTTGTGATGTCATTAACTCATTCACCCCTACATATTTAAACTGGACTTGCCCAGTCTTTGATATGGTAAGGTTCAAATGTGTGACTTTAGGGGTGAATGGGTTAAGAGTGGTGCTACATATCTAACGCATATCACTGAATAAAAATGCCAGATCATGAGTGCTTTAATCAATTTAATTCAAACAGGTCCATTTTAGACTTTATTTATTAACAAGTTAAAGCAAACAACATTTTTTGAGACCACCATCATGAAAAATGAATTTTAGTAATGTATCAAGATAATAGTGATTGTAGTTGTTAAATGTATTAAATTATATAAGTTCATACTGAGTTTTTCAAATTGAAAAAAAACAAACCTTAAAATAGTATGAATAAACAGTCTCTCAATTGAAGACTACCACTTTTTCAGGTTCCTTTGAGGTCCCCACATTTTTCCTCCCAATTTACAAGAAGCCTTGAAGGAAAACATTCTCTATTATACATTCACTTTATTCTCAGTTAAATGGTCTTTTGATTCAAAATATCAAATGACAAAATCATTGTTGTCTCCCCCTCCTTCCCCACCTATCAACCATTAAACTTGATTTGTTTTATTTTCGATTCCATGAAATTCACCTATCTTTCCTAAAAATGATGCATAACTCCATCATTTATTTTAGAAAACACTATCATTTTGTGAAAAAAGGAAAAGTGTCGGTCTGTAACAAAAATATATGGTACATTTAAAATCAATATTTTTCACCTAGCAAAGGTTTTATAAGTTTTACATTTTGTATCCTAATACATGTGGCATCAGGACTATTTCACATTATCATTTCTTTAAAGTAATCTAATTAAATCACACAGTTGTAAAACGTTTAAATTTTGATTGAAATTGGGGTTTTATTTTCACAATTGTAGAATGTTCTACTGTTGACAGAAATGTTGGGGTTTGTCTCTCACAGTTGTAGAATGTTATACTGTTGACAGAAACGTTGGGGGTTGTCTCCCACAGTTGTAGAATGTTCTACTGTTGACAGAAAGGTTGGTGTTAGTCCCCTTCAATTGTAGAATGTTGTACTCTCGACAGAAATGTTGGGGTTTGTCCCCTTCAATTGTAGAATGTTCTACTGTTGACAAAAAGGTTGGTGTTAGTCCCCTTCAATTGTAGAATGTTCTACTGTTGACAGAAAGGTTTGGGTTTGTCTCTCACAGTTGTAGAATGTTCTACTGTTGACATAAAGGTTTGGGTTTGTCCCCTTTGATTGTAGAAAGTTCTACTGTTGACAGAAAAGTAAGAGTTTGTCTCAATGAATGTTCTCCAGTTAATAGAAAGGTTGGGGTTTGTCTTTCACAGTTGTAGCATGTTCTATTATTGACAGAAAGGTAAGGGCTTGTCTTCTTCAATTGTAGAATGTTCTACTGTAGACAGAACAGTTGGGGTTTGTCTCCCACAGTTGTCGAATGTTCTACTGTAGACAGAAAAGTTTGGGTGTGTCTTCCACAGTTGTAGAATGTTCTACTGTTGACAGAAAGGTAAGGGTTTGTCTCCTTCAATTGTAGAATGTTCTACTGTAGACAGAAAGGTTGGGGTTTGTCCCCTTCAATTGTAGAATGTTCTACTGTTGACAGAAAAGTAAGGGTTTGTCTCAATGAATGTTCTCCAGTTAATAGAAAGGTTGGGGTTTGTCTTTCACAGTTGTAGAATGTTCTATTATTGACAGAAAGGTTAAGATTTGACTCCTTCAATTGTAGAATGTTCTACTGTTGACAGAAAGGTAAGGGTACGTCTCTCACAGTTGTAGAATGTTTTACTAATGACAGAAAGGTTGAATGTTCTTTTGTTTATTGAAATGTTGGGGTTTGACACCAACAGTTGTAGGATGTTCTACTATTGGTGGAAAGTTTGGGATTTGTCTTTCACAGTTTTTATTTGTTCCCCTGTTGTGACAGAAAGGTTAGAGTTTGACTCCTGCAATTGTAAAATATGTTCTACTGTTGACAGAAAGGTTGGGGTTTATCTCCCACAGTTGTAGAATGTTCTACTGTTGACAGAAAGGTTGAGGTTTGTCTCCCACAGTAGTAGAATATTCTACTGTAGAATGAAAAGTTGGGGTTTGTCTCCCACAGTTGTAGAATGTTCTACTGCAGACAGAAAAGTTGGGGTTTGTCTCCCACAGTTGTAGAATGTTCTACTGCAGACAGAAAAGTTGGGGTTTGTCTCCCACAGTTGTAGAATGTTCTACTGTAGACAGAAAGGTTTGGGTTTGACTTACAAAATTACAGAGTATACTGTTGTTGTCAGAAAGGCTTGATATGATATTCAATCCCATATTTGTTGAATGGTCTATGTTGTTAAAAAAGGTGAGGTTGGAGGTTTGAACCGCACGGTTGTAGTGGAATTGTCTTCAATTGACAGAAAAGGGC